TAATATGAACATTTTCTGGATCAATCTTGCTGCTTGTTTGTAAGCATCCAGTGCGTCACTTAATTGGTTGTTACAAGTTTCATATAAAGTACCCAAATCATACCAAACTTCACTAATGTAAGGGTTCAATCTAATTGCTCTTGTATAAGCATCCAGAGCATCTCTGTATTGAGAAATTTGGTAATATAAAACACCAATAGAACACCAGAAGATAGGGTTTCTCGAATCTCTGTTTACAGCCTGTTGGAAAGCATCATAAGCAGCAGTATAATCAGTTCTGATCATATGAACACGACCCAAATGGTACCAAGTGGCTGCATCTGAAGGATCAATTTCTAAGGATTTTAACAATAAAGTCAAAGATTTTTGATGATCGTAGAATTGAGTGTTATTCATACCATATAAACAACCCAATTGTTGTAATACTTTGGCATGGTGTTCATTCTGGGCCAATACATGTTCATATGCTTCTCTAGCACCTTGCCATTCACCCATGCTTTCCAGTACAGAACCTAATTGGAACCAAATATCCCATTCTTGTAAAGGAGCAGGTGGCTGTGGTAAAATATATCTGAAACATTCCAATGCTTGAGTCCATTTACCTTGATGTTTGTATATTATACCCAATCTAAAGTAAATTTCATTAGCTTTTTCAAAATTTGGATCTAATTCTAATACTTTAGCGAAGGCCTCTTCAGCATATTCCAATGACCCGTATCTATCATATAAGATACCGATACCGTGCCATAATTTCGGTACGTTTGGATTTGATAAATGGTAAAGAGCTTGTTGATAAGCGTTGTAAGCTCTTTGTAGGTCATCTAGCATCAAGTAACAATGACCCAAAGTGGCCCAGACATCTGACAATTCAGGGTTCACAGACAAAGCTCTTTCATATAATTCGGCAGCTCTTTGAAACATATCTCTCGAACGATAAAGGTTAGCTAATGAAGTCAAAGCTTTTGTTGAAGATTGGTTATATTGCAGGGTAGCGTCATAAGCTAGAGCAGCTCTATCTGTGTCACCGACAGTTTCAGCCAAAGAGGCGATAGATAACCAAGTTTCGGCAGTTGACTGAGTTAATGGATCTAAAGGTTGTTGTTGCTGTTGCTGTTGCTGTTGTTGAGCTTGAGCAGCATTATTTGGATTTGTTGAAGCATTGGCATTTGGAGTATTTTGTAATTGAGCAGGAGGAGATTGATGTAGTTTTTGCTGTTGGCCGGTAGCCATTAAAGCTTGTACACCAGCGTTCATGTTGTTTGGTGGGCTCTTTTTTTTTTTTCAAGAAAGAGGTAGGGAAGTAGGATTCTGTATTTTTTTTTTAAAAAAAAAGAGTTGTGAAAAAGTTAAAGTCGAACTAGTTTAATTAATACTTTTGAATTGAGTTCTGTAACCCATTAAAAATAAGTTTTTAAAATGAATGTTTTTTCAAAACAGAATGGAAAGAAGTGTTAAGAAAGAGTTTAAGACAAGAAAAAAAGAGAGATAAAAATGTAAAATGTAAAATGAAAAAAACAATCAAATTATAAAAGTTTAAGCCAAAACTAAGACAGAGAGATAAAAGTAAAAAAAAAAAAAAAATTGTATTTACAATCAAAATAAAATAAAATTCAAAATGGAACCCAAAACGAAACAGCATTCTCGAAAACATAAATACGTAGAGTTTTTTTTTTTTTTTTTATAAAAAAAGCACATACATAAACATTAATAGAGAGATTGGTTGATTGATTGATCTTGCCCAATGCACGATACTTGAGGTGCAGTGGAGAGTTAGTAGGCTTCTTAACAAAATCCAAAATCCAAAATCCAAAATCAGAAGAGACTTGGTCAGTTAAGCTAGTTAATGAACTTGCGGCAGAGTGTACTGTACTGTACAGTATCATTTGCTTCATTGAATATAATTCCAGCAAGAAGGCAAGAAAGAAAGAAAGAAAGAAAGAGAGGGAGAGGCACATACACATAATTAGATAAAAGTGGGAATACCAATTGTAGACTACATACATTAGAAGCATACTTTGCAGAAGCAAACAAGAAATAAAGATAAAAAAAAAAAGTGCAAGAGAGATACATATACTCGAAAGTCAGGTAGCATTGCTTACATATCTATCTGTTTTTTTTTTATTTATTTCTTGTTATAGGATAGTTATCCAGGAGACACCATTTGTGTTTTAATTTTTTTTTTATTTTAGTTATATAAAAGGTTAAATGCGTGGTCTCACTGAGATATTGCATAGCAAAGTGATTGAATTGGATTGGATCAGATTGGATTGGACATCCTTTTCCAATGGCAACATTAGTCGAAGCTTAACTTACTTGTACAAATTACTGTTTTTCGTAATGGGAACAAGAGTAAATGGTAGCTGTAGTACACAAGATGAAGTAAAATAAAAAAAAGAAAAAAAGAAAACAAGAAATAAAAAATAAAGACTATGTATGTACGTCTGTACGTCTGTACGTTTGTGCAATTCTCTGAGCCATATCGTCAAGTCGAAGAAAAAGAAATTTTTGAATATTTTTCCGTTTGCATTTCTTCGTTCTTGTGTTCAGCACTGCGAAAAAAGGAAAGCGAAAAAGGCAGATGGGAAAAGAAACGATGAAAACAAAAACAACCGAAAAGTCGTTTCTTCTTTCTTTTGGGGAGGGAGAGAGAGAAAGAGTGAGAGAAGAGGGGTGGTGGTGAAAAAGAACATAAAAATAAGAAAAGTACAGTTGGGCAGATAGTTCATGTTGTGTTTGTTTGTGTTTGGTTTCGTTCCGGGGCCTTTCTCCGGAAGCATGTCGAAGAGAAAGAAAATGGAATAGGGGGGCTAGAAATAGAGAGGTGAAGCGAATTGGCAACACCGTAAGGAGACGCAGAAGCAGAAAGTAGAAAGCAGAAAGCAGCTCGTTAATTTCTTTTTTTGCTTTTTTTTTTTCCTTGATTTATTTATTTCGGTCAAATAGCCACAAAAAAGGGAAGAGAGGAATCGGAAATGCTAAGACACTCGGCAGCGTTAAAGTATGAGAGAAAAGAAGTGGCACCTCTTTGTATTTTACTGCAAAAACTCAAGTATGGTGCGGTATGGCAGGCGTTGTTTATCTCATCAGTCCTTTCGTTCGTCCGTTCGTTCGTTCGTTCGTATCGGATGCTCTCATTTGTTTATATTCATTTATTTACACGACGCTTTATCTTTTTTTTTTTTTTTTTGACTCGAAAAAGAATTACAGTGATAATACATTTGCCACAAAAACGCGTAATGTGCAAATGTTTTAAAAAAAAAAATTAGAAAAAGAAAATAGCAAACCACAAAAATGCAAAAATTCACACTTGGAGTTTACCCACAACGTCATTTTCTATTTTTCTTAATCTTTTGTTTCAAGTTTTGCGTTGTCACATGACTACTGCCGGGCTTTTACAGTTTTTGCCCTTTTATTTTTCTTCTTAAATCTCGCTCAGTAATCTCATTCCATTGCCATATGCAGCAGATGAACAGGAAAACCGGAGAGGAATCAACAAGAGAGTAGTAGTAATATTCAATCCCCCATAATAAAAATAAAGATATGATAGTGCAATAGAAACAAAATAACAAAATAACAAAATTGAACGAAGGCATATCTTGACAAAAACTTGTAAACTATTATATACTTCCGCTAACTAATAAGACTAGACTAGATTAGATATTTGTATCCTTGTTGGAACTAGAATCACACAAACAAAACAAACAAAACAAACACTCAATCGATCAAATCCATAAAACTGACTTGTATTGTATACTAATTAATAATAATGTCTGTCGCCAAGCGAGTAGGCGCATATTAAAAACAAAATTAACTATTTGATTAGGCTTTATTCATTTCTTACCTCTACTCAGGTTGTATCATAAATAATGTAATTTATAGTGTTGAATATTTTTAACTTATTTTTTTTTTTGATCTTTTTTTTAACTTTCAACTATAGTTTAGTAGTAATTCTGTCTATGGAAAAATTTCAGATAAATCGGAAGATGAAGATACTCCATTAATTAGGGAAATCTCTAACAAGATTTGAGCTTTCTTTGGTGACAAGTATCCTGCGGAAATAGCACCGGCTGGGACTTCGTCTTCACCAATATATGAAATAGAGTCACCGCTCTTGGCGTAAACAATTGGGACTGGAGAATTAGTCAATGTCAAATTGCCAGCTGGTCCATTGGAGATAACGACCAAACCTTGTACAAAACTGCCCAAGCTGGATAATAAGCTAGTTGGCAAGTCACCTCCGTAGACAATTGGAACTATTGGTGTACTGCTGTTACCACCCATACTAGGAGCTGAAAATTGTGGGAAGTTGTTTCTAATTATTGAATCGTAGCCAAGTAAGTTGGTGTCTGTGTCGTTAAAGAACCAAACTGCTTCTTTACCAGCATAGTTACAAATACCCAATGGAATACCAGTATCCTTTGCGACACCAGTGTAATCAACATTTGGTGCAAATACACCAGAGTAGATTAATTTGTCACCGAATGCAGCAACTACTGGGTCCATGCCAGAGATGTCGCTGCTGTTAGCGACAATAACACCTTGCCAAATGTTGTCGGAAACGACGACAGCCTTTGGACTGTCAATGACAATACTTTCAAAGAAACCTAGTGATTCCAAAGAGTTGCTGTTACCGATAATAACGGCACCTTTGTATTCATCACTGTCTAGGGCGACGTTTGTGGAGTTAGCGACGGAATATAATTCGGTGATGTTCAAAACGTCAGTAGAGTTGAACAAAACTTCAATGTCGATATCGCTGACACTTGATAAGGCATTAATTGGCACGTCACCACCGGTGATAATGACTTTTAATTTAGTACCACCGGTAGAGATGGAACCACCTGGGATAGGTCCACCAGTACCATTTGTGTTGTTGGCATGAGTACCGTTTGTGTTGTTACCATTGCTTGGTAAAGGTTCAGTACCATTTCCTGACACATTAGTGGCTGCACTACCAAATTGATAGATTGGTTTGGCTGATACAGCAGTAGCTGCGATCAAAGTTGATAAAACTAAATTTAATTTCATTTTGTTCTCTCTATTCCGGAAGGATATATATGTATATATTTGGTTGAATATCTAACGACAATTGATTCTATTTGAACGCTCGTAATTACATATACATTAAGAATATATATAATTTAGAAACGTAATATCGATTGGAATGAAATAAGTGAAATTAAATATTATTTTTATTTTTACCATGAAACAACCAATTTATATAAGTTGTAATGTCAAGACGATGTAAGAATTGGATCCACTGTATTATATGCATTAGGGGATGGGGATGGCATACGATTACATTATAAAATAGTAAAGCAACCATTAAAAAGTTTTTTTCCTAGTACCTTTATTAAATTTAAAACATCATACCTATTGATGAATAGAAACGACAAAAAATAACCCAACACAATCGAAAAAAAAACAGTTGTCTTGAAATTACACTTCAAGCGAATGTAACTTAACCCTAGTATGGTATATTAACTTTGACAAAAGCTAAAGTGAAGATAGAACGATACTAAA